CTTCGTTAACCAGAAACATTTATATTTTAAAGAACAAACCTATCATTATCTGTTGTTGTTATTGTTGAAGATAATTGTGGAAATTTAATATTTGATAAATGATTTATTGTATCATCTTTTAATTGACAATTATAAAGTTTAAATATTTCAATAAATTCATTATATCGTTCAGTTAAAGACGACAATGTTTCATACTCTTTTTTAAGTTCAATTTCAAGCTAAATGAAAAAAAACAATAAAACATTTTTGTTTTGTTTGTTTTAAATAATAAAATTCAACTTTTTTATGTTCTTCTTTTAATTGTTGATCACTTGAAGATGATTCTAATTGAGTAAGTTTATTTTCTGCTTCTGTAATACGTTCTCGAATCTGACTAAGTTCTTCTTCATTTGCTGTAAATGCAAGAAGAGCATTTGTATCTGTTGATGTGAGATCAAAATTATTTGGTAATGTTGTCGATTGATTAGGACGGAGACGTTGAGCTTTTTCAAAAAAATTTTTTAATGCTACTGGATCAACCATTAATGATCTTTTCAAAAAACCAAAAAAAAAAAAATAATTTAATTAAGAAAATCTTGTTTTCATACCGTGCAACATGACTTTTAGCAGGTTTTGGTAATCGTGGAAATGATTCACTACGTTTTTTATATACAGACCAATGATCAGTTAATATTTGAGAAATTTCTTTCTGAAGACAACAACAAAAAAAAAGAAAAACAATATCTATGTATATATCAATGAAAATTTCAAATATAAAATTCAACAAACATTTAGTTGATCTCTATGATCTAATTGTTTTTGTTGTACTTCACAGATTGTATAATTTCTTTGAACTGTTTTATATGTATTTGATAATGATTGATGAGTTACACAATATAATTCACATTCGATTTTTGACTACAAAAAGTTAAAAGAAAAATAAAAGAGACAAAGAATTATATTTTGTTCTTCTTTTTTTCGATAATCATATATTAAAACTTTGAATTAATAGTCGATATAATTTAGATCAATTTTGTTATTTGTATACTAACTATACAAACAAAAATATTTTCTTTTTTGCTTTTGTTGAACTTGAAAGACTTTACTTTTGTGAATAGCAAAGAATTTATTTGTCTATATAGTCCTTTACAAATTCTTTTTCATGTAAAAACTTTAAAACATAGAAACAATGATTGTGTAAGAATGTATTCTTTCATTCTTTTATTAATTACATCTGGTTATACTTATATACTAAATGTCATCTTATCGAACATCATTTCTGTCGAGAATATTGTTTCTATTGAAAGCATCATGTCAAATTTGTTTCAAATCAATCGAAATTTCTCTCTCTATATAATAAATATATATATATATCTTAACAAACCAATTCGCCTCGAATTTGTAATAAACCATTTTTATTTGCACATGATAAATGAAATGCATTTGGACATAAACCAGCATCACATGAAACAGCTACACCTGATCGTGATTCACATACATGACATGACTAAAATAAATCAAATTTAAACATTGATCAAACAACAAAATACAAATTGAAACCTTATTTCCAAATTTTTGTGATGGAATATTTGATAAATCTACAGGTGTATAATAAAGTTCATCATAATATAAAACTCCTGGAACACCAAGTGCACAAACAACATGAACCCAAGTTGATTCTAATGTTGGCCAAAATGCCTGACAACGATCTTTCGTTGGACATAAAGAACATGTCTAAGAATATTTTAATATGAATAAAAAAAAAAACAAAAACAAAAACTCCAATAATATTATTCTTACTGGATCATCAACATGTGCTAAACAAGGTGTACAAAACCAATATTCCGATGGTGATGATGAATCTGATGATTTATCATCTAATGTATCTGCATTATAACAACCTAAATATTTCTTTGAATTAATAAAACCCCAAAAAAAAACAAAACAACTAATAAAAATATTTCTTTTATTTACTTTCATGAACAATAACTCCACAACGATCACAATAAACAATTGGATCATTATCGTCTGTACTAAATATTATAAAGAACACAACAAATTTATTTCTTATTAAAAAAAAATATATATATATTTAATTTGATTCGCTTTAGTTTTTTACCTTCCACTCAATAAGCAAATCGAACATATTTTTGTTTCTGCTATTAACTATTAATTAAACAAGAGACGAATAAACAAATATTGATATATATATATATATACATAAACATATAAAACATACCGGCTTTGTTATTGAATCATCAGTTGGATTATTCTCTTCACCGGACATTTTCTATTTTTTTATTTATTTTATATCTTTCTTTTTTTTCTTTTTTTTGATATATTCTGCAAAAAGAGAAAATTTCTTTTTATTGTACTTTGGCTTCATAATTAAATGTGTGTGCGTGTGCTGTATTTTTTGATTGCAAAAAAAAACAGAGAAAGAAGCGAGATATAAAATACATGAGAGAGAGAGAGAGCAGAAAAAATGTGAGAAAGACACACACACACACACACACTCGAATTTGTGTCTAAGGCATACAAGATATGATATAAATCCACGAGAAAGATAATGAGAAGAAAAGAAGAAAAAAAGACCTTACATTCTGAAATTCAAAATGTAGAATAATAAGATTTGTAATCTATGACATGTCTGTTATATTATTATTATTATTCAAATGAGAAGAAGATAAACAAAAGTTCATTTTTTTTTCACACATATAACGAGACTTCGATGCAAAACATTTTTTTTTTTGCTTTGTATTTTTTTTTTGTCTCACTGTTTTGCCAGCGCGTCTCAATATCCGTAGCACCAAGTGACTAAAGTTGTATATATATATATAGTAGCATTAGAATAATACAAAAAAAGAAATTAGAAGAAAAAAAAAAAAAAAACGAAAGGCTCTATTGCACAACAACACGAGAGAAAGAGAGAGAGAGAGAAAAAGAAGCACTCTAGAGCACACGCACACAAAAGAAAAAAAAAAAAAAACAAAATTTGTTTTTTTTATTTGTTTTGTTTTCATTTCGAAAGTTTACTGATGACACGAATCAATGCAGCATTTTCTTCTTTCAAACGTGTATTGTCTGCTTTGATTGAGTCCATTTTCTAAATAATTATAATAAAATAAAAACGACAAATTATTTATGAAATATTAAAAATATTTTATTTTATTTTTGTTGTTGTTTTAATTATAAATTACTTTTAATTCTTCTTCTAATTCCGATATCTTTCGTTCATATGCTCGTTTTTCCTATTAAATAAAAAATAAATTTAATTATTCAATAAATAATGTTTTAATGAATACAATGTAAAATTCAAAGTTTGTTCCCACTCATTTGTAGTTCTATTAGAGTTGTTGACTAATGAGAGTGTCTACATATATTAGAAATCGATTGAAACAATTTATCTCAAGTTTTCTACTAGAATTTTTCTAGATTGAATATGTACTTCATTAACTATCTCTTTGAATACAATCATTTTGAATTCTAATTCTTCGAAACCATTTGAATTTATTGTCTTTTGTTTTTTTTTTCAAAATTCAAATAATTTCCCATGTTGCACATTTATTCGCACAATCATCAATATACCAATCCATTACTCATAAGAACTGATGGTACATTAACAATAGATTGTCATTCAGAAAATAACTATTAATATATCACAATAGAATAATAGTCAAAGAATCGGAAACCATTTTAATATCAAACTACTACCAAATGACTTAATTAAACTCAAAGATACTGTTTTAAATTGAAAAGAAATCAATATTTTGAAATAATATATATAAAAGTATCTTACTCGTTTATCAAGTGATGATTCAATATATTGTGACGTTTTCTATAAAAAGAAAAAAAAAAGGAGATTTATTAATGAAGCAAAAAAAAAACACCTACGAGCTTTTCGATCATTTGATCTCGTTCCGCAATATCTCGTTCTAATCGATCAACTTTTTGTGCTAATTCATCAGCTTTACGTTTAGCATCTTCATATAACTATTCAATAACAAAAACCAAAATAAAAAGAAAACATAAAATCTAATTATCAAATAATAAATACTCGTTTGATGGCTACTGTATCGCTATTTGGTGTTGACATTCCAGTTGATAAAGCAGTATTTTCTTTTGAATCTTTTTTTAATGCAAATGGTGTTGACGACGCCATACCATTCATAACAGTATTTGGATTTATTGTTGATGATGTTGGTGTTGTTGTTGTTGTTGTTGTTGTTGTCGGTAAAGAAGTTGCAGCTGTTAAAGATTTTCTTGATGGATCTTGACTTTGTGAACGATTAGTTCGTGATGATGGAGATGTTGGAGATAGATTTGTTAATGATTCTTTCGTTGTTGATGATGATGATGACGATGGAATATTTTCAAATCGTGATATAAGACCACGTGAACCAAGTGCAACACTATTTGATGTTGATTGTTGAGCGTTATCTTGTAGTTTTTGATCGTCTGATCGATGAGATTCTTCAATAGATGTTTGTTGATATGATGTTTTGGGAACTAAATCATTTGTATCATCACGAATTTCTACTTCTTTTGTTTCCTTTGAAAAAAAAAAACAAAAAATTTTTTTTTCTCAAGAAAAAAAACAAAACAATAATAATGTGTCAAAACATACGTCGTTCCAAATAATTCTTCCTGTATTTTTCCGTTGATTATGTACACGATTAGTTCGTCGTCGTGGTTGTTGTTGTTGGGAATCTAACGAAGTACTAACACCAAGATTCAAGGAATCGTTAGCTGTGATTGATGGGACAATATCTATTCAAAAAAAAAAGAACCAATGATTAATAGACTGGTTTCTTTTATGTTTTTTTTCTTACTGTCAGTATCAGCAGATGTAAATCTCGATCGTACGCGACGTGATCCAGCAGATGAAGAAGATGCGTCAACAGTCGTCTCAACGATATCCTATTAATAATATATTTATATGTATATACATATATATATATATATTAAGGGAAAGAGAATGAGTGTGTTACATAGAACAGGCGAAGAGCGAGAAAAAAAAATCTATACAGGCACACGCATATATAGAATACCAAATTATTACATGCATATATACTCTGCACTGATTCATAGACTGCGATGTAGAATAACGAAAGAAGAAAAAAAAAGACATCGTCGCAAAAAAAGAAAAGAAAGAGAACATAAAGAAAAAAAAAATTATGATAACAAAATCGAGTATTACTAAACCATTCAATGTTAAAATTATTCTTTATAAAAATTTTGTTAGAGCTACGTAAAAGAATATTCATCATTTTTCATTTCTCTTTTTATTTCTCAAGGTTAATAATTGAAAGCTTATGTCCTTTGGTAATCTTAGTCTATTGTATAAATAAACAAAAAGAGGGAGAGAGAGAGAGAAAAAAAAAACTAAATGAATAAACAACATTAGATATTTCTCTTTCTATATATAGAATTTAATTTTACCTCATTTCCTCCACTTGCTCTTCTTGCTTTTTCTTTTTTCTCTTCAATAACTCGTTGTAAACGTTCAGTTTCAATATCATGTTCAGCAATTAATGATGGTGTTGATGGTGCACCTATTTTATTATTTGATAATGGTATATTTGATGTTGATTCAATAGTATTTGTTAATGGTTGTGGAATTGTTACTGATGATGATGATGTTGATGATGTTTCAGACATAATAGTTGGTTGATTTTTAATTTGTTGTTCAGCTGCTTTAATATCTTCAACAGTAACACTTTGAGTTGATCGTCGTTCTCGTCGTGCTTGTGCTGAACGATGTTTACGTTGTGCTTCAGCTTCTTCATCACGACTTGGTGGAACATTTGAACGTCGTTTTCCACCAGTTGAATCATCAAGTGTATTTGCTGATGTTACTGTTACATTTGTTGTTGGTGTTGATGTTACTGATGGAATAGATGTTGTTACACTAACAAGTGTTGATGGTGCTACTGATGTTGGTTCATTAACACCAGCACCTGATCGACGACGAACATATGGACCTGTATTATTTGTTGTTGATAATGAACCATCACCTACTGTTCGATCAGTTGTACCCCATCTAAATTTGTAGGTTTTTTTTTGTATTTAGTAATATAAGAAAAGAAGAAAAAAAAACGAAGAAAGAAAATTTTCAGAAGGTAAAAAAGAAAAACATGCATTAAAAGAGATTTATTGATTTTCTTTTTTGTATATTTTCCGATTTAAATTTGTTTTCTACGTGTCTAGTCTGTGCAGAAAAAAAGAAAAAAAAGAAATGATTAGGTTATGCGTATGATTTGTGAAAAATTTGGTTAGATGATGTGTTGATTGGTTACAGGCTTTGAGAGAAGAATTTGTCAAAAAAAAGAAAAAAGAATACCTTCTCGGTGGTACTTCTGGCTGTGTCTCACTAAAACTAGAATAATAAAATAGTATGATCTAACAAAACTAACTCATATATGTATATATATGACATAAAACCAATTGAATTAATTTAACATGTTTAAATGAATTCAAAAAAAAAAATAAATCTTTAAATTACCTTCGATTTATTTTAGAATCTGATGGTTGTGTAGGAGATGGAGTTACATTTGTTGTTGAATTCTCCTATTTAAATACAAAAAAAAAAAAAATTTTTTTAAATTAAAAGTTCAATTTATGTTTCTTAATTTAAAGATTGTTTATCTACATGCATTGTTAAGTTGTCATGCAAAACATTCAAATATATATATTTTTTTCTAAAATTCGTTTGTTGTATATCTTACACGACTGGATAAATCATTATTATTATTAGTATTATTATTTGTTGTTAATGATTGAAGTGGATTTGTAAATGTTCGTTGAGAATTTGTTAATGAATATTTATTTGCTGATAAAAATGTTGGTCGTGTTGATGTAGTCGATAAATTAGATACTGTTTTATCATGAGTTTGTTTTGTTCGTTGATCATTTGAAGATATATTTGATTTATTTAAATCATTATTTGTTGAATTAGTTGATGTTGATATATTTGATTGCTATGAGAATAAATAAAATAAAGCTTTTTCATGCACAAACAATAAATGCATTCATATACATTCGATAGTTTCCTTTTAAATGAGTCATCTCTACATTAGCTTACCTCATCTTGATTTGTTTTTAAATATCGATTACTTAAATCATGTAATGATCGTTGAAGATTACTTAATTTTTCCTAAAATTAATGAAAATAAACAAATTATTTTTGTTTTTTTTTTGTAATTATTATTTAATAATTTAAAATAAAAATCGAACCTTTATACTAGGTGAACAATTGGATAAATTCTCATCTACAGATGTAGGATTTACTGATAATGGTAAAGGAGATGAGGGTAAACAAGGCTAAATAACAATCACAAGCACATGCATTTCATTAAAAATCTTTCATTAAATATAATACCTGAGGAGATTTATTAGTTGTTTCTAAAAAAAAAACAAAAATAATTAAATTAAAATACAAAAAATAAAATACAAACAAACCTAAATTCTCATTATGTGATTCAGATCTAAGTATTGATTTTTGTTCATCTGTTGACCGAGAAGGTGGAGGCCTAAAATAAATTTTATTTAATCATATAAAATTGAAATTTGTTTTTTTGTTAAATTCTACTTTTTCTTAAATGGTAAATGAACATTATCTGGCGTTTCATTAACTTGTTTCTAAAATAAAAATTTATTTAAAATAAATTTTTTTGTTTATAAAAATCTATTTACTTTTACAGGAGCTTGTTTTTCTTTTAATTCTTTTAATAATTCATAAGTAACACCATCACAAACATCAAGTGGTGTTTGACCCTAAATTAAAATAATATTCTACAAAAAAAAATAAAAACAATTAAAACATACAGCATAATTTTTTGCATCTAAATCTCCATTTCTTTCAAGAAGAAATTTAATAACATCATGTTTATCCCAATGTGCAGCTGCATGTAATGGTGTCCAACCATCATTATCAACTGAATTAATATTTGCACCAGCACGTATCAAAATACTATAGAAAAACAAGAAACAAACGAAATTTCGTCATATAAATCAAAAAAAAAAAAAAAGAAAATAACATACTCAATAACATCTATATATCCTTTAGCACAAGCAACATGTAAAGCAGTAGCACCAGTTCGAGCATGTACAATTGTTTCAGCTAATGATTTATTATTTGATTTTTGATTATTATTTAACCAATCTTGTGCATGTTTAAGCATTAATTGATGTTCAATATTTCTTGCTTGTTCATCATCAATACCTTTTCTTCTCATATCTTCTTCCAAACAAGCTATTATATCATCACCTTCAGCTATATCAATTGGTAATTCACCTTCATTATTACAAACATCGACAATAGCACCACGAGATAATAAATATCTATAAAATAAAAAAACAAATATTATTTTCTCAAAGAAAATCTATGAAAAATCTTACTTGACAATATCAAGATTTCCACAGGATGCAGCAGCATGTAATGGTGTCCATCCTTCATTATCTTGACAATTAATATCGGCAGAACGATTGAGCAAATATTCTACCATGAGCAAATTATTGTCAATACATGCTTGATGAAGTGCTGTAAGTCCATCAATATTTGATGTATTTATATCAACACCACGTTGTAATAATCTTTCAACTTCATCACGATCTGAAGATGAACATGCAGCTAAAAAAACATATGCTTGTTGAAATTTGACACGTTGAGATATTTTAACATTTGATGATTCTCGATTTGTTTCTGATTCATCCCAACGACGTAATTGTTCACGACGTTTAGCTATTGCACTCGATTGACGATTAACTTCGTCTGATAATGGATTTATTCCACTTAACATTAATCGAGTTTATTATTCACATTGGATGGACAAATATATGTATATATATATATCTTCTATAAACAAGAAAAAGACTAAATAAACAACATCAGAACAAAACAACAAGTTACGGCCATACTACTAATATTATCAACAAGGTCAATTTATTTATACTATTTATTTATTAGTGTATTATTATTCACATTTTTATTCTATCATTTTAATCAATAACAACTATTCTTTGACTAATATTTGTTTTTATGATTATTTTTTATTTTTTATTTTTATAGAATTGATGTCGCTAGTTGACAGTGTCATATATATGGTTTATATATAAATCAATTTTAACAAATTAGAAAAGAAATTTAAAATTTTAGGGAAAGAAAAAATTAATTTATATAAAATATTCTTGTATTGAATTCTTAAATATTTTTATCTAGTCGTATCAATTAAAGTTTGATTATAATCTCAAAATTGAACCGTTTGTTTTTTTTTTTGTTCTTTTGAAATATTAATACAAAAATTAACAAATAGGATCTTTTATTTTATTTTTATTTTTTTTTAAAGTTTTACATTTGTTAATATTTTAGATATTTTTTTTTTTATCTAGATTGATTTTTGTTTCTATAATTAGCATGACATAGTTTGTTCGTTCGTTCGTTATCCACATATCATTATTGCCTTCTGTTTATGTATAAACACCAAGAACAAGAATAAGTAAGACAAACAGAAAAGAAGAAAAAAAAAAAAAAAAGAAGAAGCAAATTCCACTATAATGTCCTTGTTTCTAGTGCATATGTTGTCATATTCTTAGTATCTATAGCATCGTCTTGCAAAAATTATCTTATACGACTAGTAAAGATAATATTCTATATGTAAAACACCAAAATATACTAATCATAATAAAAAAAAATAGGTGCATAAATCACTATAGGAAAAATATTGTTGATAGCTTAACGATATTCTAATTAATACAAACTGTTTAATACATAATCATAAATCAATGAATAGTAAAAAAAAAAGCACTTTCAACTTACATAGAATAACAAGAGAAAAGTAATATGTCCATATGAAGCTTATAAAAAGAAAAACAAAACTGACAAATTCTTCGATAAAACACCTACAGTTTTATTTTTAATTCAATTATGAATCAATGAATGATTAATCTTTTGTTTTTAACTCACATTGATATTTACCAACTATAATCACTATGATTCTATTATAAAAGGTCATTATGAATTTGCACATATTTCAACTCTTTTGCTTATTGATCATATCACAAATATTGTTTTTTTTTCTTTTTGTTCGTTCTTATTTTCATAATGAAACATATTAGTAAAGCAACTGTTTAAGATTTATCTGATGCATATGTTTTTTAAGATGTTTAAAAAAATTTATCTATCGTCTTAATCAAACTTAAAATGAAGATTTTAAAATATATTATTAATTCAATATTGAAGCAGCACAACGAAAAGTAATTTCAATTAATAATCGATAACAAACACAAGTATCTATGAAATGGTTACCCGAAATAGATTTTGATACAGTTTATACTGGCATATGAATACCAACAAGATGATTCATTGAATTGAGATGTAGTGATCAACAACAATATTGTACAGGATAATTTAAATATCAAAATTATAGTAGTTCATTGAACATGAATGAAAATATTATTTATATATTTATTATTTCAAATTTCTTTGTATTAAAAATATCATTGATATAGAAATAAGCTGATGAAAAAAAAAGATTTTGTTGTCATTCAATGACAGATTAACTCCATCAATGTGCATGTCTGTCTATGAGTTGAAGTTCAATGTTTTTACACATATTCATTGATATCCAAGCTCATTTTATTCGATTAGACAAAGGCTCAATAGATTCATAAAACGAATATTTATTTATTTTTTTTGAGGTTTATATATTGTTAGAAGCAATTCGGAGTGGATAAGTGCAAAGCACTTTAATGTAGTCTTATGAGAAAGATCCTCTAACTGTTCTATAGATTTTTAATTGAGACTACGTATATTATGTAGACCCATTCGCGCTATGAACATCTTGAAGAGTTTTTACTCATAACTTTTTGTTACGCGGATACCACATTTTTATGGTGTTTTTTTTTAATTAATGAAACAGTCCAAAAAAACTGATCTTTTAGTTTTGATCTGAAACAGGCCTCAACAAGCACATTTTATTTTGTAAAATTTTCAGATCTTTTGATTTGTTTCTATCCTGAAATAATAATAGCAAATATGCTGGTGTATATGTGTGATGTCAAAGACACTCTATTTGCATAGTAGTATCTTAGGATAGGAACAATGAGGTTGGTATAAAAGTCTTTCTATGTCAAGCGTCAAATTAAAAGTCGAAAAACAGTTTTATCTGATGTTGCTGAGAATGACTAGAGTTTTATTTAAAAAATGCCATAAAAATTGAAGAATTTGTGTAGCAATCAGCTAAGGATAAGAATTTCTATCACTGTGTTCATAACTTATTTGAACTTACTTAATGAAATTAGTCTTGACTCAAAAATAGGTGAACAGTTGCACAACTGACTATTTTCTTTAGTGTCAACTTCATCTGAAAACAGACAGAAAAGTATTAAAGACGAAAAAAAATATAAACTTTTCTACTGAGTTTTGAATACTAATCCAATATATGTTGAAAATTGTTCGAAAAAAAATTTGACTATTTATTTGGTTTTTCTGATTCAAGAAACGTCAAGAATAAAATACACTCAAGAAAGCATCATAATTCATACAGATGGATTTTCCGTATTTGACTTATTCATATATGCATAGAAAAAACAGAATAAAGATCATAAGTGAGTAACAACAAAACATCAAACATTCTAAGTTTCGATTCTTGTCTCAAGCAGATTTGATCTCGTTTATTTGAATATTAAACTAGTGTTAGTCTTATGACGCCGTTTTGATTATACTTCGTTGACTATGAGAAAGAAAAGACAAAAAGATATTACTTACATTTACTTGAAACCTAAAGATTTAGTTCATTATGAGAAAGATATAATAACACTCTAAAAAAAGAATTATTACGCTTCTAAAACACTGTTCTTGTACCACACAAGTCAAATAAATAGCCAAAACTAGTTTTATAACATCATTACCACATAATTGATCAATTGTATTTTTGTAAACGCTACTCGTATTATTGATCATGACTCAAAACTTATTATATACAAGTTTGAATATTTTTTTGTTCTTGTTCTCGATACTTTTCAGTTTATGTTCAGATGAACTTCACATTTTCTTTTTTTATAATGAAATGATGAACACTATATAGAAAAGAACATGATCATAGTTGAACAACAAACACAATGTGTATTGATTTGTTTTAATCATGATAAAAACGATCAAAATGAATCGATAGAATGAATAAAAAAGGAACAAAAACTCATTTGAACTTAAAATGAAACCTGATGAATTCACACATTGTTTATTAATCAAACAAAACAACAATAGAATAATGATCTAATCCATGAGATACTTTATTTAGACACGTACGCATACCTTTTGTTAATTACTTCGAAACAAATCTAAATAAAACGATTTCTTCAACAAAAACAAAGTACAAAAAAAGAATTTTCTATAAAAAAACTAAAAGTAATTATATGTCTTCTAAATAATCATGTCATTGTTTTTCAAACAACTTATATAATTATATATATATTCTATTTATTTAAGAGATTGATTTTAGAATTTCTCTCTTTGTTCAAAATTATTCATTTATCTAATGAATTTGTACTATTGAAAACAGAACAATGTAGTGTCATATTTGTTCAATATATGTATGATGTCTTTAACAAATATTTATTTTGAAAGACTAGAAATATTTTTGTTCAAAACAAAATTAATTGATCTACTTTTCAATTTATATCTAAATTGTTATTATTTTTCGAAACTAAATATTATATATATTTGCTGTTTGCTTTACTATTAAGCATAAAGTAGATTGTATACGTATGAATACAATAAGTTTATATTCAAGGTTCTAATAACTTATCAGATATGATAAAATACGAAATGACATTATCCATGTTAAATGATATACTTATCTATCACAAATCGAATTAAAAGAATAAAATTTTGTGGTCTATCTAAATAACTATAAGACAATATGTATAGCTATATTTGTTGAGTAATTGTATCATATTGTACAATATGAAAAAGAACCTACAGTCGGTCGTGTTAATCTATAAACATAATAACCATTATCATTGGTTACAGAAATCGAATAAAATCATTGATGTGTGTTACCACTTCGATGATAACATTTATTATCAATGATGATTCCATCGGTTTCTAGATGACTACCTTTGTATTATCCAGAAGCATGAATATTACGTAGATAGAGTATAGTTAACTAACAGTATTCCAGCATAACCTCAGAAATGAATTCACGTTGGTATGACTGTAAATTTTCTGTTATTACACACTATAGTTGAAGCTCCATAAGAATATTTTTCGAATAGAATATTTAAAAAATATGTTGTTTTACTTATTTCTACGTATAGTATTTGTTTTCGTAGATGTTGTTTTTTTGTTACGATAAATCAAATGAACTTTATTAATTTTTCAAGATGAGCAATATTCATATGATTACTGTTTTGAGAAGTAGTCATAGTTGATGTTAAATTACAAGTTGCAATTGTGCTTGTATTGGATGTTGTAACTTTAGGAAAGGAAGTTTCTTCGTTAGCAGTGATTAACTAATTTAAATAAAATATTGCTGAATTCACTTTTATTCGATAGTTGATTTAATTCAATAAAAGAAATAATAAATATCTTCCATTAAAATTGTAATGGATCGGACCATTATGTAAAGTCTCAAGTCTTTTTTATCATTTGTTCTTGTGAAGTTGTATCTCAAAAAAAAGTTTTTGAGAAATCTATTCACTGAGCAATATTAATATTTTGATCATCTCTCTAACAATTTTTATACATATATATATATATATATATATACAAGTTTTTTTCAAAAGTATACTTGATATTGTA